TAAAACCCACTCATCCATCCATCTATCAATCTACTTTTTGTACTGTGCTGTGATAAAAAATAGATCGGGAAACTCTGCGCATATGTCTGACGGAGCTATAATCGTGTTAGGGTCTATTGGAAATTCTGTTTGTGTTGTTTCTGGTTCAGGAACATCTGGTAGTTCAGGTCCTTCTGGTGCCTCTGCATCTTCAGGGGATTCTGTAGACGACTGAAAAATAATTTTATTTGTTTAAAAACAATAAATAAATTTATTCACAGAAATTTTAGATCTTTTAAACTGTTTAACATATGCAAATATTTTGTAAAGAAGAAATGTTATGGATTATTTACTTCTTCGGTTTCTGTAGGATTCTTAGTTGCTTCCTCTGGAGTATTTGTTGGCCCTTCAGGAGATTCAGTAGGTCTCTCAATTGATGCTTCTTCGGTTGATGACACTTCAGTTGATGGTTTTTCGGTTGTCGGTAGTCCTATAGTGCTTGGCACTGTTGAAGGTGCTTCAGTTGGGGTGGTTGACACGATACAACCAACACAACAGAATACAGAATACATTTTTATTTCCTGTTGCATTTAATGGAATTGTAAACAATATTTAATTAATTATTTTCAGTTAATAATGTTGCAAATAAATTTAAATATCTTTTATACTCCCTTTGTTCCGTTCTTATTAATTAGTTTTAGTTTTTCTAATTAAATGTTTTAATTACTTGTTAGTGTTAATATCACTTACTGAATAATAATTACTGTTTAAGTTTGAAAATATATCTCAATAAAAATCAGGTAAAAAAAATGTTTCAATGTTTTATTGCTATAATTTTCAAAATGTTCAACAAATCCGTGAGCTGTAATTTGATAGCTCTCCACATAACTGAAGAGATTCTGGCAGTCTCAGAATTAGCACAAATATTTTCTGCAGCATCCATAAGCCTTGCAGTAAGATATTCTTTGTTTTCAGAATTTTCTATATAAACCTGACGTTTCAGATTTCTTTGAAACAAATAATCTAGTAGATTTAGACCAGGTAGTCTTCCAATCTAACAGTTCGGATAATTTTGATTTAGAAAATCTGTTACTACTTTTACATGATTGTGATGATCAAAGATCATTCTGTGCCGAAAGAATTATTCAGAATACGTGCATATTAAAATGATTCCAATTATTTATTATATAGGGCATATATATTTGAAGAGCTAACAAAAATATCAGGTGATATAAGAAAATACAACGTTTATTTTCACGGAACACACCTTAAATATATATATTTTAAGAATTGCTGATTTAAATAGCAAAGATTCAGTAGGAGCTCAACCAATAAAGTAAATAAATGATATTGTTGATTATAACAGACCATATTCCATAAAAGATAAAAAAAGGTAATAAGGTGCCAATTAAAAAAGTGTGATTTATTCCTTTTATGTTATTTAAATTTACTTTGTGTAATTGAATTACGTACTAAATGTGAGCAACTGAATTTTGTATAAAATAAATTAGATTCACAAAGCATAAACAGCAGCTGTCGACATTATAATGTAATAAGCTAGTAGTGTAAATTAAATAAGTAGGTAATAAGTAAGCTTCCATAAAAGTTGTTCCTGTGATTATTATAATTTTAATTATTTTTTAACAAAATGAATTATTTGAATATTTATTGAAAGAAATGGCGAATATGCACCACTGTTAAGAATTTGCAAATTTTGTCTCACGGGATGCAGTCAGGAGATACACCCAACTGTTTCCAGGTCGTAGAATACCAAACTGGCAAACGTTTGATAAGATTGACGTTTTAGAGAATCAGAAATTTTCCGTCTACGTTCATGGTGGCATTGTTGGTGATATACTTATCAGTCTTTTCGCGCTATCAAATAGGTTGGGTTGGATGGCCATTATTATTTACATTTTCTAATGAACGTTTATTAGATGTGCCGCTAAATGTACGAATGAATACTTGATTCCAGCACGACGGGGCTCCAACACATTTCGCTCGTGTAGCTAGAGATTACCTAGATGTAACATATCCCAGACGGTGGATTGGCCGTGGTGGTCCAGTTCGGTGGTCCCCTCGTTCGCCGGACTTGAATCCCCTAGACTTGGCATTATATTAAGGAACTGATTTACACAGCCTATATAAATACCAATGAAGAATTATGGCAACACATACAGCAGGCCTTCAACACCATCCGCAATATGACCGCCATTTTGGGAGGATATGAACATCCTTAGCGCGCAGGGCATAAATATGCGTAGAATCAAGAGGCGGTCACTTTCAGCATTTACTAGAATTAGTTGCTAATTATTAATTCATAATAATAATTCGTTGTTTCTTGCCACTATTATTTATTACAAATTACTTCAAACCCACATTACTTAAAAACGGCTAATTGCATACAAATTTTCCAAGAGGCCAAATTCATAGCTAATTAAATAATATTTATGAAAATTGCGTATACTTAACGAAAAAAGGACTTTGATACCCTATATCTCGTTAGGGAGGGTTCTGAGACACCTTATTCATTAAGACGTTTTGTCTTATTTTATTCTATTTGTCCTAGTTTTTTTAATCGCCCTGTATATATGCTTTATGGCTGGTTATTTTTGAACATCATTAACAATCCAAGATCAAACGCTACTCGGATGTATTAAATAATGGAATTATTGATATCTCTCTTTTTCACAATTGCGTATTACTATTAAACAATATCATTTTTCAAATTGCTCCGAAATATTGTTTACTGTAGAAAATTTGCTACTTTCGGGTAGTTTATGTTCTATTTCATTTGATAATTCGTCTCACATGAAGTAAATGCTTTAACATGCTTGAGGTAGGCCTCAAGGAGTCAAATCGAGAAAGCCAAAATGTAGAATGCATTGCCATCCAAGTGTAACCTGAGGGGTTATTTCTTTATCTATCTATCTATCGTTTTGACCAGTATCATAACGAGTCTGGATTTCACAAGAGTTACTATTTAATTCTCGAAAGGGATTTTATAATTGTCATAATACTTTAATTAATACGTGGGAACTTAGATATGTTCAGAGTATGAATTTCTGGCACTTACCCTATATTGCTTACGTAGAACATAATCCAGTGGCTGACTATACAGGGTGACACTAAAGTTGAGAGAAACAAAAAGAAACACCAACACTTCCAGGAAGGGTTTTTAATAACAATAAACAAAACAAACAAACAAAATAACAACACAACGGCTAGAACAACATTATTAATTAATTTATTTACACGCGACAGCGTACCGAGATTCAGGGAATGCGCGCTCCATAGCAAAATTTGGAAAAAAACTTTATCCATTATTAAATTTAATTAACTAGTCCGAGACTCTAAAACTAAGTCGACTGCTCAATGTGGAACATAAGGAAGAACTGCCTCATTTCGAGATCTCTCCTGAATTCGACACTTCGCCATTTCCACTTCTGGACCCATTTCTTGGGTCCAGAAGTTTCTGTTTTTATCTTATTGGCGGGAACCCTGAATATCGGGACGCTTTGGCATCACTATGCCATGTTAATAATTGTCTAATAGACTGAATTTACCTTTATATAAATAATTATGTGACTTACAAGTAACCCTAGCCTTCCTTTAGCGACTCCGTGTAGCAAATACGGGACGGATTATTCGATCTCATTTAATCTACTCTTAGAACTTGGAAAATCCGTCAAAACACCAGCTACTTGATCTGTTACTTTCTTTTCCAATTACTATCAATTTAACAATTTGATTTAATTCTATGTTGGAACCTCTACGCTCTTCTCGTGATTTCGCGCGTTATTAAAAATATGGGTTTCTACGCTGGCGCCTCCCAGACGCAACAGATGACTGTCACATGGCCCCGACTGTAAGTGAACTTGTTAAAAAAATATTGCTAAATTTCTCCGAAGGACGACGCTACCTACTTGAAACCCTTAACTTTCGACAAATTGTGTTGACTGAAATACTTTACTTTTTGGGTCCATCCATTCAGAGAACTAATAAATAAATTACTACGCGTCCCGGCTTTTGTTACACAAGTAAGACTCTTTTTACTTATTAGGAGGTAATAATGAGTAGAGGTAGAACCTTGTAAACTCAATATGCAGAGCCATCATAAATGTTTACAAGCCACGTGACCGCCGAGGTTAGGCAACCAACATTACATAGTTAGTACAAAAAATCCCTAAATCTTGGCGTTAACAATATTACTGATTTGTTTACAATAAACAATTCAATGACAAACCTTTACGTCTAGGCTATACCTAATACGATTGATTGCTGATTGGTTGAATAGTATCTCGTGAAAAATTACACCAATCACAGCCAGTGAAACAGAATTGTATGTTTTAATATAATCTTGATCCTATTGTTTTAATTTTACTGAAAATTAATTGCCAAAGTGAAGAAAATAAAAGTACTGTTCCAAACACTATAAAATATTAAATTATTTCTAGAGCACCTATTAAGATCAACAACATACGAGTGAATGGTTTTTATTTCGTTTAACTGAGATTTAAGTAATAAAGCTAAAAAGTATTTGTACAATTATAACGATCTTGTGTTTGATTTAAAATTAAATTTATTCCAAGAGTGTAACTGTATTTAAAAGTTAAATTATTTCTAAATTTCTTGGTGTGACTGCACACAATGTCAAAACCTAGTGATAACATTTTACTTGATAAATACGTGACAGCGACAATATAGGATAGAATGATATATGGCTATATGAAAACAATTTTTTTTAATAAAGTAGAACATATATTTGTACAGAAGCAGAAAAATTACATTTTGCAATTAGAATAAAAGATGAAATACCTGTAACTTTTCCATTCGTGTCTGGCTATTTAATTTAAATTATTTTTGCATTGATGATAATCCCCCATAAACTAAAATAAAACAGTTTTTTAAATAAGGTGATTTATTTATATTTTATTGCAAAGGCCTTATAAGTAGGAAATGATAATTAAATAGAAACTAACAAAATAAATAAAATGCATTCAAGATCAGTAATTTTTTTCCTTAAACAAAATTAAGGACAATGGGATGGATCTGTTGTGCATGTGCTTAATATTGGACTAAAGTAGTTATTTTTTGGACAATTCATAATGAAGGGTTCCCCGAAGTTACAAGTAATAAACTTTGTGCAGTCGTTTGGATAAGAAGTGACAAAAAATAGATTAGGATGCTCTGCGCATATATCTGATGGAGTTCTACCATCTGTTGTAGTTGTGATCGGTACAGTAGTGGATTCTGCTGGTGGATTTGTTGGTTCAGGTGTGGGAATTGTTGTTGGTTCCGGTTCTGGTGCTTCTGTTGGTTCAGGTTTTGGAGTTTCTGTAGGTTCTGGCTCCGGAGCTGCTGTTGGTTGTGGTGCCTCTGTTGATTCAGGTTTAGGTGCAGCAGTCGTTTCAGGCACTGGTGCTTCAGTTGGTTCAGGTTCAGGAGTTTGTGTTGGTTCTGGTTCCGGTACTTCAGTTGGTTCAGATTCCGGTGCCTCTGTTGGTTTAGGTTCAGGAGCTTCAGTAGGTTCGGGTTCAGGAGCTTTAGTTGGTTCGGGTTCTGGGGCTTCTGTTGGTTCAGGAGCTTCCGTAGGTTTTGGTTCAGGTGCTGCAGTCGGCTCAGGTTCTGGTGCTGCAGTTGACTCTGGTTTTGGAGCTTCTGTTGGTTCGGGTTCCGGTGCTTCTGTTGGTTCAGGCTCCGGTACAGCAGTTGTTTCAGGTTTATGTGCCTCAGTTGGTTCAGGCTCTGGAATTTTTGTGGGTTCTGGTTTCGGTGCTTTAGTTGTTGCTGGTTCAGGTGCTTTTGTTGGTTCTGGTTCTGGTGCTTCTGTTGGTTCAGGTTCCGGTGCTGCAGTTGGTTCGGGTTCCGGTCCCTCAGTTGGTTCTGGTTTTGGAGCTTCCGTAGGTTCTGGTTCTGGTGCTAAAGTTGGTTCAGGCTCTGGGGCTTCCGTAGGTTCTGGTTCCGGTCCTTCAGTTGGTTCTGGTGCTTCTGTTGGTTTAGGTTCGGGAGCTGCCGTAGGTTCTGTTTCCGGTTCTGGTGCTTCTGTTGGTTCAGGTTCGGGAGCTGCCGTAGGTTCTGGTTGCGGTGCTTCTGTTGGTTCTGGTGCTTTTGTTGGTTCTGGTTCCGGTGCTTCTGTTGGTTCAGGTTCTGGAGCTGCAGTTGGTTCCGGTTCTGGTGCTTCTGTAGGTTTTGGTTCCGGGGCTTGAGTTGGTTCTGGCGCTTCTGTTGGTTCTGGTTCTGGGGCTTCTGTTGGTTCCGGTTCTGGAGTTTCAGTTGGTTCAGGTTCTGGTGCCTCTGTTGGTTCCGGTGCTTGAGTTGGTTCTGGTTCTGGTGCTTCTGTTGGTTCTGGTTCTGGTGCTTCTGTTGGTTCAGGTTCTGGAGCTTCCGTAGGTTCTGGTTCCGGTGCTTCAGTTGGTTCTTGTTCTGGACCTTCTGTCGGTTCAGGTTCTGGAGCTTTAGTTGGTTCAGGTTCCGGAGCTGCAGTTGGTTCTGGTTCCGGGGCTTTAGTTGGTTCTGGTTTTGGGTCTTTTGTCGGTTCAGGTTCTGGAGCTTTAGTTGGTTCAGGTTCCGGAGCTGCAGTTGGTTCCGGTTCTGGTGCTTCTGTTGGTTCTGGTTCCGGTGCATCAGTTGGTTCTGGTGCTTCTGTTGGTTTAGGTTCTGGAGCTTCAGTTGGTTCAGGTTCCGGCGCTGCAGTTGGTTCTGGTTCTGGTGCTTCTGTAGTTTCTGGTTCTGGTGCTTCTGTTGGTTCAGCTTCTGGAGCTTCCGTAGGTTCTGGTTCAGGTGCTTCACTTGGTTCTGGTTCTGGGCCTTCTGTCGGTTCAAGTTCTGGAGCTTTAGTTGGTTCAGGTTCCGGAGCTGCAGTTGGTTCCGGTTCTGGTGCTTCTGTTGGTTCTGGTTCCGGTGCTTTAGTTGGTTCTGGTTCTGGTGTTTCTGTTGGTTCAGGTTCTGGAGCTTCCGTAGGTTCTGGTTCCGGTGCATTAGTTGGTTCTGGTTTTGGGCTCTCTGTCGGTCCAGGTTCTGGAGCTTTAGTTGGTTCAGGTTCCGGAGTGGGTTCCGGTTCTGGTGCTCCTGATGGTTCTGGTTCCGGTGTTTCAGTTGGTTCTGGTTCTGGTGCTTCAGTTGGTTCAGGTTCTGGAGTTTCAGTTGGTTCAGGTTCCGGAGCTGCAGTTGGTTCCGGGTCCGGTGCTTCAGTTGGTTCTAGTTCTGGTGCTTCGGTTGGTTCAGGTTCTGGAACTTCCGTAGGTTCTGGTTCCGGTGCTTCAGTTTGTTCTGATGTTGTTGGTTCAGGTTCCGGGACTTTTGTTGGTTCGGGTTCGGGGGCTTCTGTCGGATCTGGTTCTGGTACTTCAGTTGTTTCCGGTTCAGGAGCTTCAGTTGGTTCAGGTTCAGGAGCTCCTGTGGGTTCAGGTTCGGGGGCTTCAGTTGGTTCCTCGGGTGTTTCAGTGGATGGTGCTTTTGTTGGTGGTTGTGTTGGTATAGTACTTGGAATTGTAGGAGGTCCTTCTGTAGAAGTAGTTGTGACTACACAACCAACTACGTTAGGCCAGTCACAATTTAGTATTTTCGGATTGTAATGGGTTCCTGGAGCGCAGTCCATTATTTGAGGTCCCCATGGCGCGCACACATAAAATCTTGCGCAGTCGGTTGGATCCGCCCAAGATATTTCGTGTAGACAGTCTGCAGTTGAGTATAAGGCGGCTGTAAAAATAATTTATAAATAAAAACGCATAGCATTTAGGTACCATCTAAGTTATAAAAAAATGCATTAAATTTTGAATTTTTGAATTTTTCTAAACAAAAACAAACAGCTTTCTTAAGGTATGCAATCGAAATATTTAAATATTTATGTACTTTTTATGATTAAAATAAATCGCAACGTTATCATGTTTAGCAATTCGTTGATAGTTAGAATACTTTGCGGGTATAACAAGTATTTTATTTTATAAAATGTTGTAGATAATTAAAGTGTTAGAGGTTTTCAGCTTTTGAAATAGTTAGAATAAAGTAATAAAAATATTTTAAGAGAATCATAAAATCTTAAACCAATAAACATTGAAACACCCTAATTTAAAAATTGCAGTAGCAGTAAACAATGGTTTATTATGAAAATAAATCGATATTAAAAAATATTTATATATGTATATATTTTTATAATTTTGTACAGAGCCTTCATGAATGATTACAAGCCACGTGATCGCCAAGCTTAGGAATCCACTACTGGTACTAACTAAAAATCCTTAAATTTTGGCGTCACCAATATTAATGACTCGATTACAATGACAAACCGTTACGTTTACGCTTGAGATACTGCGATCGCTGATTGATTGAATGAAAAATTACACCAATCGCTGCCGATGAAACAGAACGTTATGTTTTAATGTAACCTTGATCTTACTATTTTAATAAATTTTAATTTTATCGAAATTTAATGGCCAACATAAAGGAAATAAAATTATTGTTTCAAACAAAATTACTGGTCACCTGGTTTGTCATCATTCATGAAGGCTCTATATATATTTTAACGGTTTTTTTAAGAGAAATGAAGGCAACACTATATCAATAAAAGCTCACTGCACTACACGAAAAGCACAGTAGATTTCCTTACGTTTTGCTGTGACGCTGACAACTACTAGAAAGAGCACATACACACTTATAGTCTCTCGAAGATGGGTCATATTCTCAAGTAAACGTAATATCTATTTACTAAATAAAAGTCAAGGAACTGCCTTAATTCACGTTTTCACTATATTTATATAGCAGTTCCATATCTCCTACTGTGGATAAGCTAATTGACTCGGTAATCCCTTAGCTTAACAATTATTTTAGATATTATCTGACGTACTTAGGTACATAGAAATGCGATCTGCATATTATTATTTAGGCTCTTGTCAAAAACTAGAACAGTTTTTGATTTCATGTGTGTTAGTGTTACTATAAAATCATAATTTAAATTGTACACAATTCGTGCAAATTTCGGGCCTCAAAATAATTTCTAATAAAAGAAATATTATGTGTTACTTCGAAACTAGATTGTGATTATAATTCATTTGGAGCTCCTTTTATACTGTGTAAAGTGTAATATTTAAATCATTAAAATCAAATTTGGGAATCCGTACTAGTTTGGAGCATGTCTTTGTTACGTTTTCTAGTTAATATCATCAGCCTTTTGTTGTATTAATGAGGTATTTTAGGAACTCGATTACTCTTATTATTAATAAGTTAATACTTTCTATGCTATCCAGAGGCGGATGGTTTAGGTGGTTGGTTATTATGTGCACTATAATTTATATAGAAAATAGGACTGTTTAGAATTTCTGTTACACATTTCCAACAAATAGTATTTAAATGTTTTATTTGTTTTTACAATGATTTTATCACATTCTATTTAGCTATAGGATACATATCATCGTTTTAGATAAATACTAACAAAATTTTAAATTGTCATGAATTGTCTACATTGTAGCTTTAGCTTGCACATTAGTGTTACAAATTTTTAAAATACTTTTGGAAAGCATACAGATTTTCTAGAAATTGGCGATATTACACATATAAATTTTATTTAAACAATGATTACATCCACTAAAGCTTCAAAAACGGCTTACATAGGTAGATGTAAGAAGAAAACAAATATGGAAATAAAATACAAAAACCATATTTAACAAACGAATTTGGAAAACGCTCTTAAACGTATTTTCAACTTTTTTTGTATATAACAATAATAATAATCAAATTTTGGCATATATTTTCCAATTTTTTTAGCAAATCTGTTCATTGTAATCAATATAATATATTAAAGGCTTAAAAGCCACAGGAGTAACAAGGATCTCTAACTATCCGTGTCAAGAACACCATTTATTTTAATATTTTTGGACAAATTTCGAACGAATTTGAAATAAAACACATCATTGGATTAAAATATGTAATATTTTGACAATTTATGCTGCTTTATAGGTACATACAAATTGTAGAATTCAATAGGAGACAAATTTTAATGAAATAAAAAAAATCCGTGAAATTTCAGTAAAATACTTTTTATTTATTTATTTATTTTATTACAATCGTTAGTTTTCTCCACAAAATGGAGAACAACAAGAATATAATAGAACATAAATACTTAATATTTATAGACATATAATCAGGTTATTTCAATTTTACTTTATTTTATTATGCACCTTTCAGCATGCCAAAACAGCTCGATAAACAGAAGAAGTACAGAATATACATATAACTAATATAAATCGATAATTATACGTATTTATATTTATAAGAGGATTTTTGCCTTAATACATATAAGCATAGAACATTACATGCCAAATGAGTAAGGTTCTGACCAGACCATTTTTAATGTTCGTAATTCTTTGTTATTATTTAGTAGCCATTTACGGTAGCTTTCATGAATTTTTTAAAATTTTTATTTCAACCCCTCAATAAATTATGAGCATTTGAATATTTTGGGTAAAGAATTTTCAATTACCTGTAACTTGGCAAAAACTAACGATATCGTATAATTTTTTTTATAAAATATAAAGATAGTACACTTTTAGTTTTTTGATTTTTATACCAAAATAGTGCTTTTTGAAAGAGGCGATTTTTTTCTTCGAAAAATTCTCAAAAAAAAATCGTTTTTCAATATGCAAATTTATGATGCAGGTTCTAGAGTGGGATCTTTTTTTTATTCAATTTTTTTTGAAGAATGAATGAAAATTTTATTTTAATTTTTTACCGATAATGTACGCTATTAAACCAAATTTTATTATAGAAGTAAATCACGATGACTAATTACAAAAAATACCATATTTTTAAAAGTACTTTTGCTAGGTAATATTGTTATTAAGTATCTAAATTATTATAACTAAATATACCGATTTTTGTTTCAATATTAAAAAGTTTGTTTTGCATAATGCCATAATACTTGTTATATTTTTGAAATAGAAAAAAACTATATCTAGAACACTTGACGGATTTTATTTTCTGCATTATTCCATTAAATATTCCAGCCAGTGATTCAAGGATTCGAGACCACTTCGAAGGATTTGAGACCTGTAGTTGCTAATTCTCTTAACGACTACTTTATTAAAAAGTAAAAAAGTAAAAAGTAAAAAGTAAATTGTCATCAGTGCACTGATCGTTATGTTCACTTAATTTAAATAACGAAAATTATATTGTACTAAACTTTAATATTGTACCAAATTTGGTTTAATATTATACATCTGTAAAAAATTAAAATACAATTTTTTTTTAATTCTTCAAAAAAATATAAAAAAGATCCCACGCTAGAACCTGTCTAATATAAATTTGCATATCGAAATACAATTTTTTTGAGAATTTTTCGAAGCCACTATTTTTAAAAAAAAATTTTCAAGTTTAAAAATAAAAAAAACATCCCAAAAAACTAAAAACTTATTATTTTTATATTTTTATATAAAACTAAACTTACATCCTAAAAAGAACAAAATGAAAAAAAAAAGTTTATATCTTTAGTTTTTGCCAAATTACAGGTATTTGAAAATTTTTTACCCCAAAACATCAAATGCTCATAACTTCTTCTAAATAATACCAAAATCAGGAAAATAAAAATCACGACCTCAGTGATTTGGCATATGTATACATAATACAGGGTGTTTGTAAATAACTTCGAAATATTTTAGTGGGTGGTTGCCTAAGTTATTTTGTGAAAAAAAGTTCATATAAACATAGGTCGAAATATGCTTCGTTTCAGATACAAAGTATTTAAATTTTAATTTTTTAATTATTTTTATTAATTATTTCAGAGATTTAAAGATAAGGGGGATGCGAATATTTCTACTTGCACCAGTGGCGTTCGTGCGATAATGCCACAAACTTTTTTAATAAAAAAAATAGTACGCCGCTGACTTTTTCCCGCTTTGATATTTTTTAGAAATCCGCCATCAGTTCTGAATCAAATTGGTCTCTTCAATTTTTTTCGTAGGATGCACCGATTTTGAAGAAAAACCCCAATTTTCAGCGCTATCGAGCATGTTCCAAGATATAATATATTAATAAACATAGAAGAAAAAAATTTACATTATATACAAATATTTACATAAATAAAAATAAAACATCCCAAAATGAAAAAATTATTGTCAATCCTGTAGCCTCTTTTCTCTACTTATAGTCGTATGAGACTCGTGTCAGAAGGTAATCTCAATAATGTATATTAAAAAACTAACTTGAAACTTGAGCCAATTTTTTAAAAAATATTAGATCTAAGTTGTCCTGTTTCTGGAGATTGGTAAAAAAAAAATCAAAACGAATATGAAGAAAAAATATTCTGAGAAATGAAAAAGTATTTAGAAAGGACAATTTCTGAAAACAGGTACGATAACATAATATTCATTCAGTAATAGGAACAAATCATAAAAAAATGTGCCTATAATACTAAAATTGAAGCTTCACACTCTTTAGAATTGCGAAAATATACTTCAACTAATTTAAAAATTTATTTGCTGCCTCATTTAGGAAAAAATCAAAATCTTCATGTTTTAAAATGTTTAAACTGAAACTTGCCGCACATAACTATTTACATCGTGACTTTATGACATCAATAAATTAATTGCCTTCATTGCTTTATGTAATATATTAAATACAATTGTTGTAATCTTATTTACATAGTATTTTAAATTAAAGAAACTATTTCGCAGGGTCGTACATCGTGGACATTTTTTGAATGGGCGTAATAAAACATCTAAAATACGAGTAGAGAGAATAAAGAGTAATACAATTTTTATTGCAATCAAATTAATTTTGCCAACGGAATGCTGCTTTAGCATTACCATAGGATATGTTAAAATATCCACCTATTAATCAAATCACGTACGTGATAAAAAATAATTTTATCATATGCTCGAAGACGGTGAAAAAGTTCAGGGTATACGCTTAACGAAACTGAAAATTTTAGCAAAGATTTCATCCTCTTAGTTCTACAATAACAGACAATTGTTTTCAATATGTCAGTGATACGTAATGTTTTGGAGTCGTTAACTTATTATGGTGACACATAAGTATACGTAGGGGATAATGAAAAAACAATAGGATTAACTATATGTTTATCTTTGCTACAATCATTGCTAAAAATAATGATCATGCACGGCGTGATAAGATTTTAAATAAAAAGTGTATGGTACCAGCCATCTAAAAAACAATTTTTGCAATCTTTCCAAGGAATATATCGGAAATTCCTACGTTACCTAATGTGGTTTTATTACAAAAAAAATGTATTCTAGATACTAGTAGGTATTAAGTTATTGTTTTAAATCTTTGGTATTTATAACTTATTACCTCGCAGCAAAATTATTTAAGGATGACCAAATCAATCTTTCGGTTGTTTTCTTCTGTAGTGTAACCTTGAATGAATTTACTGATCTAATAAATTTAACTACAATAACTCCAGAAACAGTATTGTCTGGATTTTTCCAAATTTTTTATTTCGTTTCAAAGAAATAATTATGAAAGTTTACTTTAAAAAAATATATATTTTGGGATTGTTAATAGAAAACGTTTTTTTTTTTTAAAGAAATTGGAATACTTAATATAACCTTATAATATTTACGAGCAACATTTTACAAGTTACGTAATATTTATTTGACGATAAACAAGTACAGAACTTATTACTAAATATTTATTTGAATTTATGTAATAATATATAAAAAAAAAACAATTTACTCGTAAGACATGTCAAAGCTTACAACAAATA